GGGCAGCTTGAGCTATTTGATAATATTGCAACCACTTTTCTCCAGTCGTTGGTGGTGATGAAAAGTTTTGGTTTTTGTTTTTCCGTCCGTCACCTTCCTTGTTAATACATGTATTGTTGTTTTGGATGCTGTCTATGGTGTTACTGTTATGTTCTTTTTTCAAAATTCTCCTCCTCTTTAATGTATTTACTGTTGTTGCTATTGCAGCTGATGTTGCTGTTGTTTTCATTCAGGGTAAATTTATTTAGGATTCTTTTTTGTTGTTGCCGTTTCTATAGTCGCTGTTGATTTTTTTTTTTTTTTGCGATGCTCAAGTTAACTAAGCTGCAATCAAAACGATATACCGTAGACTGTAACGACCGACATCAAGGATGGCAATAAAAAAAACAGGTGGTACTATTTTGTACAGCGCAAATTCCTGCTCCAAAGCCTACAAGTTCTATGCTCTTTACAAACTATAATATTACCCCGGCAGACCTGATAGCATTCTGAAACAATCTCAACTTCCTGGGAAGCGTACAGCTTAATTAAGCTTCAATTTAATTTGCGCTTAAACAATACATGTAACAATGAATACTTACTACTTCACATTCTAATCCTCAAGGATGACAATAATACTAACCGATATCACTATTTTGTACAGCGCAAACTGCAGAATTCCCGCTCTACAGCAAGCTCAATGCGCTTTATTATCGTATCTATTTATTACCTCAGAAGACCTGGCAGCATTCTGAAACAATCTCAACTTCCTGAGAAGCACATAGCGCAAGCTTCCATTCCATAATATGCGCTAAAACAACAATGTATACTACGTCACATTTCAATTGCTGCATTTTCTTTCCTCATCCTTACTATCGTCAATTTTCCTCTACCTCTTTTGTATGTTTGTCACTCTCTTGGAACTGCTATTTCCGGGGTGCCTTAATAGTCGAAGCAGACTTTGTACTGTTAACGCTAAAGAGGTGAGCAGAGTAAGCCTAACTCACCCGTTTGGACTTCTCTGTAGACATCCACCCCTTGGCGCTCATATGACCTTATGCAGTTGAGAGCGCCGTAAAAGCTTATTAACTCTTTCTGGACGTATCACCGATATATCGGCTATGATAGGGTGCCTCAGTATTCTTTCGTGTTAACATGATCCGTCATTTATAATTACTTTTTATTACTTATCGAAAACTTGGAAAGGATTTAGGCAACGAAAACATCTAGTTTCACTTTGTAAAAGCGTCGGTTTGGCGAAAAAACGGGTGAATTAATTCTTGCGATCTCGCATCAACAAAACGATGTAACCGACTCAGTAGAAATATCATAACTCAAAGAAAAATTGGAATATTACTTTCAAATGAAAAGCTGAGCATTCAGAAATTTATGGATTATGCTCTTGGCATGTATATTATAAGATAGCTATGCTGATTTGCTTTCACATGTTTGGTGAAAGTAATTTTTTCCGTCAAAATTTTTGTTTTTCATCACCATCGCCATTTCTAACCCTTATAATGAATACTTATGTTCAAAATTAATCCTTATTTGTTTCATGTTGGAATGTATGTCTTATTCAATTTCCTTCAATTTGATATATCATAATAATATGTTACGTTTTGAGTAATGGTTATGCTTACATGAAATTATTTTGTATAGCACCTGTATAACCAAATTGAGCCACAATTTAATTACGTTGATTTAATTAGACTCCCAAAAAAAATTACGTTTTTTTACGTTTGGAAAGAGTTAAAACAAAGCAAAACCTTTCAATCCCCTCAGCCCCGGCAAGGACCGACGACTGCGCCGACCGACCCATCCGCTGTCTGATGAACCCGTGTGACGGCCAAACCTGCGAGAATTACCCAGATGCACGGTGCACGTAAGTGCTGTACAAGTACAAGGAGTTTAGAACTAATGGTGCTGTATGGTGTACACAGAGGTGTCACGAAGTGGCGGAATCAGGCGCGCGGCTTCAGTTTTTTAACCCTTCCAGCCCCAGCCATTTTTGTGCGTTCTCTAACCCCAGTCCCAGCCAATACAGCCGTACTTCATAAAAAGAGGCATGCATTCTAAAAAGTGAAGTTAGTATCTTTGTAATGCGGTTTAGATAATAACATATAACAATGTTTAAAGGTAAATGAACTAATATTATGACAATTAAAATTTAATTAGGTTCATTAATTTATTTTAATGCGCAAATTCAGTACCCTCAAAAACTGAGAATAATACGCTCTTGGGACGGAAGGAGGTACAATTATACGCATATGGGGCGGGAAGGGTTAAAATATAAAGTATAGGTATATGTTTAATACCCCTATCAACACTGTTAGCATATTTAAGAAGCGGGACCTCCAAGTTGAACGTCTATCGCCAAAAAGGACCGAGCCATATACGGGAAATTCATGTACAGTGCATTTCCCAAGGACACAACATCGGACCGACCGAGCTGAGGCTCGAACCTCCGAACCAGCTATCTCACGATTACGAGTCCGATAGCCTAACCCCTAGGCCACCGACG